AGACAACGACGAGGGCGGCTCCTCCCCCTCCCCACCCCGGATGCCCTGCAGCGTTGGTGTGACGCCACGATCCAATGAGCCGCGCTTCATGAAGTAGAAAAGCCGCGCGAGCGCGGAACAGAAGGCGCCGCCGTGAGCAAATCTGGCGACGTGTGGGCGGGCTCCGCTGGGAGAGGCGAGGGAGCGTTCCCGGAAGTCGCCGCGGCCCGCGGGAAGGTTTGCTTCCGGGTTGGGCGGGGCGCAGGCGTAGACGGGTCGGGGGCGGGGCGGCGGAACTCAGCTTCTGGCCGGCGAGTCGGGCGTCTTGCTTCTGCGCCCGCGTCTGGAGCCCGAGGGCCGCTTCCCCAGGCGGCGCGGCGCGGCGCGGATCCACGCGGAGTTGGGGCCGAGGAGGTCGTGGATCTTGGCCAGGTCGGAGCGGACCCGACCTGCTGTTACTGTCATGGCGGCCCTAGTGAGTATGGGAAGGGAAGGTGGTGGGGTCGGATCGGGGACGCGGCGGCGGCGGCGGCGACAGCCCTTCACGCACTGTCCCGCCGTCTCTCTGCAGGGCTCCAGCAGCCAGAATGCCACGGAGTATATTGTCCGAGTTCCCAAGTAAGCACCCCCACCCGCGTCTTGCTGACCAGGAGTGGATCCTTTCCCGAGCTTGGAGGGGTGGGGAGGAGGGGCGTCTACTTGCAGACCGGAGGGCAGGCCTGGGCCCGGCGGGGGCCGTTCTGGAGGACCTCCTTGTTTGTGAACGAATGACTGTTTTGGAATGAATGAATGAATGAATGGCGTGGTCACTGCTTGAATGAATGAAGGAGTGAACAAATGGATGAATACATGAATGCCAGTTGGTCTCCGACGGCCGAGTCTGAGAATCGAACAGTGCACCACTGACTTTTCCAAAGTGGATCAGCAAGGCATTTCTTCCGAGTTCTCTCCCTTCAAACGCAAACCTTCAGCCTTCCAGCTAGCCCCACCCAGGGACATATGTCACAACTCGGCCCACTGGCTGGGCATTTGAGACGTCTGCACCCGTCTGTGCCCTGAACACCTGCTGGAAAGACAGAGCCCTTCTCCCCAGGCGCCCTACTTTTGTACTTTGCTGTAACCTCTGTCAGAAATTTCCTCTACCCACTCCGCACCCCCTGCTGTAACTCCATTGGTGGACTCTTGCTGTGATCCTGCAGAACCCAATTCCAACAGCCTTGCTGCCCCACACCCCCTCACCCCAGCCCAGAGCCATGTTCCCTATTACCCCCAAAGCTGGAGTTCCCGAAATTCCTGCTTTGCTTTAGCTTGAGGTTGGGAGAGGAGGGGAATGCTTCTCCTTATGTCCTGGGACACTCGATGGTTTTTTTATGGGTCCCCATCTAGAAGTCCCTTGGGAATTGCAGATGGTGAATGCTCCTGGCTGCTGGCCGGGAAGTTGGGGGTCGAGTCCAGTCAGAGGTGTGCCAGAAGAGAGGCCTGGTGATCCACTTTTGGAGGTGCTGCAGCTTGCAGCCCTCAGACCTTGGGGCACCGTGAATCAATGGCAGCAGGCTCAAGGCCCGGGTGGCTCAGGGGGAAACTTCCAATCACACCTCCTGCCCGGCCACCACCTGGTGGCCCATGGAGGCCCAGCAGGTTTCAGAGGAGCCTCCAGACAAAGATGAATTAGCAATAAAGGCCTGATGATCTACCTTTGAGAATTAGCCAGTGAAAATCTTAGGGGTCACAACGGCCAGCCCCTGGGAATGACTAATGACTGGGTAGCCATTTCACTGTTTGGCAGTAAAACTGGGAGTTGGGGTCCAGCCCCCCAGCTGACTGCAGGAGGATTGCCTGGTACAGTCAATAGAACTCCAAACCAAACGCCCTTCCATTGAGTTAGCTCTAAGTCATAGCGACCCTCGAGGTGCGTGCGGTTTCTGAAACCTGTGGGTTTCTGAGACTAGATCCTCCCAGAAGCAGAAAGCCCCATGTTTTCCCGAGGAGCGGCTGGTAGGTTCAAACTGCTGGCCTTGGGGTTATGAGCCTAACACTTGGATAGCAGGGCTCCCAGGGCTGAGCCAGGATGACCTACTGAGTGACCAAGGTTGGGTGAGCGCTACCTCCTTTTTCGCCTGCTCCAGAAACACGACGAAACGATACAACATCATGGCCTTCAACGCAGCCGACAAAGTCAGCTTCTCCACTTGGAATCAGGTAAGCCACTGGTTCGGCAGGCGGGCAGGCGGGCGGGCCTGCTTCCAGAATTGCCAAGCGTCGGTAGCCTCGTTTCTAAGGGTTTCTAAGGCTTCACGTCCTCCGCTCTCCCAGACTGGAGATGGCATGCTAAGTCCCAGGCCCAGCTGCTGGGCAGCCCTGGAAGGAGGATGTTTTGGAGCCTTAAATGGGAACGTGGAGGAGGTCTGCCTCTTGGTGGGCAGGGAGAGCCCCAGGTTAGAGATTTTGTCCAGATCAAAGACTCTGGAGCAGGCAGAGGCTCAAGGCTTGAGAGCGGCCTTTTGGAAGCCGTTTGTTTTTCACCCCTCTGTGGTTGGTTGCCTTTAAGTTGGCCCCACTTTGTGGAGATCTGCTCTCTAGGGTTTTCAAGGCCAGGGCTGATGGGGGCCTGAGGCAAACAGCAGGGATGACGTGATTGGATTGGGATGTGGCTTGAATGTGGAGCCAACAGGCTTTGGGGGTGAAACGGGCATTTCAGGGCAAGGGAAAGAGCAGCAGCCGCTGATACCATTCACTGACACGGGTTGCTGCTGTGAGTCAGCGCGGACCTCCAACCCTCGGGTAGAACCTCCAACCATCGGGTCGGCAGCTGAGCCCGCTGTTTGCGCCACAGTAGATGTGGCGCGGCTGGTCCCACAGGGACCAGCTCCCAGCCCAATCCTTTCCTGGCGACTTTGCGCCACTGCTACAGCATCATGTGTTTTCCCTTTTTGTTCTTATGATTGGAATTTTAAATTTGGAACTCTTTGGAAACCTAGGGGAAGTGGTAAAAGCGCCGCCTGCCCCAAGGTTTCCCAGATGTCACCCATCGCCCCTGCGACAGCCAGGGCCCCATTGTCGCCCAGCAGGCTTGGGTGGGACACCAGCGTGAGTGGGAGGGGTGTTCCCGCGGAGGGGTCCCCGTGGGGCCCCCCCGCGAGCCTGTGCTGCCCGGGCCCGTTCCCTCCCTCAGGCCCGGCTGGAGCGCGACCTGAGCAACAAGAAGATTTACCAGGAGGAGGAGATGCCCGAGTCGGGCGCGGGCAGCGAGTTCAACCGCAAGTTCCGCGAGGAGGCTCGCAGGAAGAAGTACGGCATCGTGCTCAAGGAGTTCCGCCCCGAGGACCAGCCCTGGCTGCTGCGGGTCAACGGCAAGGCCGGCCGGAAGTACGGGCGTGTGGGGGGGTGTGTGGAAAGGGGGCGGGCGGAAGTACGGGCGGGGTCAGGGTGCCAGCCTAGAGACTTGACCGGCCCACTCCCCACTCATGCTCACGGGAGAGGGGTTAACAGTGCTGAGAACCTTGTGGGTGTGTAGGTTGGGGGCCTCAGAAAGTTCATGGAAAAACGGAATGGGAAGCTCATGGAATTTTTCCAGGAGCTCTTTGAAGCCCCCTTGAACATAATATCCAATCACAATTTCTATTGAAAATACCACAAGGCGCACCCCAGCTGAACAGTTCCTTCAGGTCCAGATGGTCGACAGGGTGGCACTGTTCCATGGTGCCACCCTCCTCTACCTCCCTGGCACGAGTGTGTCCCCTCTGTCATCATAGACTGCCCCCCACAGTTCTAGGCTGGACCTTACACCAACCACTCGCCTCTTGGTCCCATGTACGTCACAGCCTACAGGAGCCTGAGCCCAGGGCAGACACCCTCTGCTCACCTCTGCACCTGTGGTGCTGCCTCGGCTTGCAGGCCTGGGTCTGCTTCCTGGTGGTTTCTCGGGGTCCCCGCCCACTCTGCACGGACTAGAAGTCTCCCCCCAAGGGTTTTGCTTATATCGCTAGTATGTCCGCCACCAGGGTGCCAGCGTCTGCGTGCCCCTATTGTGGCTGTGATGATCTTAGGGCTGGGCTGAGCTGTTCCCTCCCATGAACTCCAACTATCTCTTAAGCGGCTGGATGACCTTTTTTCCTAATTTACCTCTGCGTGTATGTGTGTGTGCACATGCGAATTCAGGATTCACCCCCATTGGGAATCCGCTCACCTCTGATCCATCATCTTTCCACTCTCTCCCCGTGTTTCCCATCCCATCTTCCGTCCTCTCTGATGCCCTGAACTTTGACCCTTGCATACATGTCAGTCACCCTTTTGGTCATAAGCGGGTGATTATTCTACTGGGGATGAGTTCAGTTCCAGACCCAAAGTGTAAGGCCCATCATCTTGGGATCCCCTCCTGACCGGTCCGTCAGCCCAGCTGGTCTCATTTTATCATTGTGAGTTCTGTTCCACATGTTTCCCCCACGGTGTCAGGACAAGGTGATCCTTTGTAGGGGGAGCCGGGCACCATCTAGTTCTTCCGGTCACAGGACTGCAATCGTCCATTAGAAGCTAACTGTTTCCATATATATGTTTCTTCACTTCCATCATTCTTGTGTAGCCGAGAGACCAATAGTTGTCTGTTACATAGCTGCTCAGAAGGGTCTCAGCACCCTGTGCTGCTCACCAGAGGGTCGTGGAGCCTTGTCTTCCTGGACTGTGTTATGTCAGTTGACCTTTGGTGTCCTTGGAGACTATGGACCTGATCCTCCAGGCTGGGTGACTCATGCCTTCAAGGTGCTTGGTCACGGCTAAGGTTTCACACCTCTGTCCGGTACGCTCCACCACTTCCATGGATATGGATGAAGCCTGGCCGACTAGTGCCCACCCTCCCTCTGTTAGTTGTGATTTGAGTGGAACATGTTTTATTCGGGGGCATGGACTGCAATCCCCACACCGCCGAGGACTCCTCCCGCTCCTGCCCCTGCCCTGGGCCTCCCATTTCAGTTCGTCCTCCCCTGCCCACTGAGCTTTCTCCTGGGGCCAGTGCCGAGGCTTCTCTCTCTCGAGTAGTTGGCTCATCCCGCTGTTCTCCCCCCTCGCTTTCAAAGGGCGAGCTGGTAGTGTTTGGCATAGCCGTAGACACTTGCTCTCTGGGCTTCAGGGCCAGTCCTAACGTAAGGTGGGCAGCACCCAAGAGGGTTGGAGAGGTGGGTAGGACAGCAGGGCCCACGTGTGCTGGCCCCTGCATGGTGGGTTGGGTTGTGGGCACCCCAGGATGGCCTGGTTTCTGGGTAGAAAGGTGGTAGTGGAGGCAGGAGGAGGCAGGCCAGTG